CCTCTCCCCCGCCGCCCGTGCGGGTGACCCTCGCCGTTCCCGCGGGTGACACTCGCCATCCGCGCGGGTGACACTCGCCGGCCCTCTGTGTGTCCCCCCGCCAGGCGCATGTTCCCGTTCCTCAGCTTCAGCCTCTCGGGGCTCAACCCCTTGGCCCACTACAACGTCTGCGTGGACGTCGTGCTCGTGGACCAGCACCACTGGCGCTACCAGGGCGGCAAGTGGGTGCAGTGCGGCAAAGCCGAGGGCAACATGCCAGGTACGGCCACCCCCTCGTCCTGAGCAAACCCGGCGGGCTCTGCCTTTCCCTGCTGTGCTGGGGACGGGCAGGAGGGCAGCCCGGTGCCGACCATGGGGGTTTGACAACAGGGAACCGCCTCTACCTGCACCCCGACTCGCCCAACACGGGCGCCCACTGGATGCGCCAGGAGGTCTCCTTTGGCAAGCTGAAGCTCACCAACAACAAGGGGGCCTCCAACAACGTCGGGCAGGTGAGAGCCGAGCTGTGCCGTGCAGTGACGTGCCACGTAACGCAGCGCCAGGCCATGCAGTGCAATGCCACCCCAGGCCTTGCTGTGCAATCCTGTCCCATGCTATGCGATGCCATCCCATGCTACGCAGTGCCATGCTATGCCATGCAATGCCATCCCGTGCCATGTAATGTGATGCCATCACATGCCATGCAATGCCAAGCCATGCATTGCAATGCTGTGCAGTGCCACCCATGCTATGCAGTGCCATCCTATGCCATGCCATGCAATGCAATGCTGTGCAGTGCCACCCATGCTATGCAGTGCCATCCTATGCCATGCCATGCAATGCAATGCTGTGCAGTGCCACCCATGCTATGCAGTGCCATCCTATGCCATGCCATGCAATGCAATGCTGTGCAATGCCACCCGTGCTATGCAGTGCCATCCTATGCCATGCCATGCCCTGTCACCCCGCGCTCTGTCCTGCGTGCCTGCAGAGCCCAGGCCCCCCCAGTCGCACCCCACTGACCCCCGGTGCCCCCCTGCCCCAGATGATCGTGCTGCAGTCACTGCACAAGTACCAGCCACGGCTGCACGTGACGGAGGTGAAGGAGGGCGAGGGCGAGGAGAGCGGCCAGGCCCCGCACACCCAGACCTTCACCTTCCCCGAGACCCAGTTCATCGCCGTCACCGCCTACCAGAACGCCGACGTGAGTGCGACCCCGGCACCCATAATACCCCCCGGCACCCGTAATGCCCCCTGCCACCCCTCAGCC